ACTCCATCCTCAGTGAGGGGAGGGAAGGCAGTGCCTGCAGCCATGTTTGTACTTCATGATATCTGCACCTCTGTAATGGCACCTGCGGGGACACGGGACCAAACTGGCCTCAACAGAATCTCCCTCCTGGCACCGACCATCGCTGGTCTCAGCTTCCGTGCACTGCTGGAATTGAGGTGAGGGAAACTCAGGCTTTGCACAAGGAGGGCAGAAAATGCCAGACGGAAAGAAGCAGGAATCGTGGGCGCCGAGCGAGGTGGACATCCAAGACTGCTTGGTCCTAGAAGGGAGAAGTAGCCCCTGGGAGACCAGCTGCCTGGTTGCTCAGAGCTCTCCACCTTTGGGTCCAGGCCCGCTTTCAGGCTCAGCTGCCCATCCTGCCCTGCCTGTGAGTCATCTTACATTTTTATGCACAGTGGCCCTTTTTCCTCAAGCCAATTTGAAGTGGGTTTTGTTGTTTGCCACCCACAGAGATTTAATCAGGCCAAACCTGGGTCAATCGGCTGCAAGGAATAAAAAAGTCCATGCAAAGAACCCGAAGTATAAGGCCAAGGAGGCGCGCTCACAGAAGCCATCTGGGGCTTTAAAGTTGAGAGGCAACTCCTGTCTTCAGTCTGTTCCTCTCCCAGGGCTGTGTGTTCACCGTTCCCTGCTTGCCCCTCCTGACTGCTCCATTTGTCCCCCTCTGCTGAGCAGTTTCCCTACTCTATTCTCCCCTTCCATGGAGCCCTGGAGCCCACGTGGCTTTCCAGCTGTGCTGTTCTCACTGATTCCATCTGTTTCTCAATTCTATATTGTATATTCCTGGGAGAGGGTATCTGATGGGCTCAGCTTGAGCCGGGTGCTCATTATTGGTTTCCCTGAGCAGACGGGGTGGGGTACCCGGAAGCTGGGGTTGCCCCTTCCAGGGATGTGGGCAGAGTAGACTCCAAAAGTGGCGTGGACAGAGAGGAATCATAGTATAATGACCGCCTGGCTGGCTGGTAGGTTGTAGGAGATTCAGGCTTCAGGGGGTCACACACCTTCTAATCCTGGGGAATCTCCTTCATTTCTGTGAGCGCTAGTTTTTGTACCTGTAAAATTAAGAAGTGGAACCAGAAATAATAACTAGCATTTATCGAGCATCTACTATGTGTCAGATTCTATTCTAAGCACTTTGCACGCACCAGTTTAACTTATTTAATGCCTGTCAAGCATTTATGGTGGTCACTAGGATGACAATCTTGTTCCAGCATTCAGTAAATGGACCTACAATGTGCAAATCCCCACCTGTGGGACTTTACCCTTAGTGATCTTATAAAACTGTAACGCATCTCCATCTTTTCAGCCCACAGTCCTGACATATGTATCCTCACATACCAATTCTTCGTCCATCGATAAGGTTTTGATGTTTAGGTTTTCAAAACAAAGATATTTTATTTCTGATAGAAATGAAAGGAGAAAAACCAGAACTTGGAGATAAATGATTTATTTCCTCTATCACAAATGATAATCAGCCCAAATCTCCCTCCTAATTCACCATGCAATGAAACCTGTTTTGTCACAGTTTTATTAAAGTGTAATTGAAGGGGCGCCTGGGTGGCTCAGTTGGCTAAGCGTCTGCCTTCGGCTCAGGTCATGATCCCAGCGTCCTGGGATCGAGCCCCGCATCAGGCTCTGAGCCTGATCAGTGGGAAGCCTGCTTCTCCCTCTCCCTCTGTCCGCTGCTCTGCCTACTTGTGCTCTTTCTCTCTCTGTCAAATAAATAAATAAAATCTTTTTAAAAAATAAAGTGTAATTGAAGACAATAAACTATATCCCCTTAAAGTATGTACAATCTGATGAGCTTTCGCATATGCATGCACCAGTGAAACGTCACCACAGTCAAAGCAGGAACATCTATCTGTCACCTGCTAGTTCAAGTGTCCTTGTACTTCTTTGTAATCCTTCCCTCCCACTGCACCCAAGAATTACAGGTTTCTCCACTCAGGCTGCCCAGAACATCAGCTATTCCCAGGCCTGTGCAGCTGGGAAATTGTTCTGCCTGCTTCTTTCCGGTGGTTCTTCCTCTGGCCTTGGATAGTTTCCTCACATGCATACACTTGACCAGTACTCCGGTGAAGTCCTAGGGGTGGAGGGAACCCTCAGCAGACCTCCAGAACTCTTTCTGTACAGCTCTTTCCCCTCTGGTACTCTGCTCTGTGGATTCTAGCCACCTGGCCCCCCGGATTCTCAATTCTGTTTTCTCTGCTCAGAGAGACTGCCAGGCTTCCTTTGGGTTCCCCTCCCAGGCTTGCAGTTTGGAATCCTCTCCAGGCAGGAAGCCAGGGTAGTCAGAAGGATCGCTTCCTTATTTATTTTTTTTAAAGATTTTATTTATTTATTTGACAGACAAGAGACACAGCGTGAGAGGGAACACAAGCAGGGGGCGCGGCAGAGGGAGAGGGAGAAGCGGGCTCCCCACTGAGCAAGGAGCCCGATGCGGGGCTCAGTCCCAGGGCCCAGGATCATGACCTGAGCTGAAGGCAGATGCTTAACCCACTGAGTCACCCAGGCATCCCTCCACTTTTCTCAAAAGGACCCTGTTGTGAAGTTAGAGAGGGGGGATCTTTAGCAGTGCTGGCAGGTTTGGAAATAAATGCTCCTGAGAAACGCTGTCCCTCCCACTCGCCCTCATTATCTCCCCCACGGAACATGTGAGCTGGGTCTCACTATGTGCCGACTTCCCTTCCACTGTCCCAAAAGCAGGAATGAGGGTCCTGTGTCCATCTTAAAATCTCTGTGAAGGACAAACGAAATCATGTGTCTGAAAGTGCTTGGCAAACTTTGAAAACAACACAATTGTTGATCAATGCTATATCCTATTATTATCATGCATGTTTATTTTTCATATTATTATTTTTATCATAGCTACTATTTAGAAGATTTGAATGCTACCTTCAGGATCCATTTTTTTCACTTCCATTTTTATCACCAGTGACAGTTTCTCCTTATCATGAGTCTACTGGAGCTCTCTGAGGTCTAAGGTGAAAGGAATCCTTATGTTGTCAAGAACATCCTTAAGTGGCTTCAGTTGTGCGGGTTGACTATCTCAGAGGTGGAAGAACCTGTAACCCAAAGTGGGCCACTCCCTGTAGGGCTAAGAGGCCAGTATTTCAGCTTCAGAGTCATGCATATACACAACCTCATGAACTCTATCAATTTTCCTTTTCATGGAATAGCAAGAAATATTGGACTTCTTTCTTTTTTCTTCTTTTGTATTTTTACCTTCTAGTTCTATCCTTCTCTATTCTAGATCTGAAAGCAATGGGTTCCTAAATATAAGCTCTAAAATCATATATATACGTGCTATTTTCCTATCCAATTATTTTCTCTTTCCCTCCTAAAAACGACATTGAACCATGTACAAATTACAATGTTCATGCATCCAATCAAAAAAACTTCTGGACATGCCAAAAAGCAAGAAAATGTGATACATAATCAGCAGAAAAACGAATCAATACAGACTCTGAAATAAAAAAAAAAAAAGCAGAAACCACTGGCAGACAGTTACAGCTCTCGGGTGTGGTCTCCACTGGACTGGATTTTCATAAACCTTATTATGCCATTTAAAACACTACTAAAAACAAACAAACAAAAAAACACTACTGCTCTGGGGCACCTAGGTGGTGCAGTCGGCTGAGCCACCCACTCTTGATATCCCCTGAGGTCACGATCTCCAGGTCATGTCATCCACCTGCGTGAGGTGTGAGATCTAGCCGGTGTTGGGCACTGGGCTCAGTGCAAAGTCAGCTTGAGATTCTCTCTCCGTCTCCCTCTGCCCCTCCGGCTCATGCTCTCTCTCTCTCAAATAAATAAATAAAATCTTAAAAAAAAAAAACTGCTGCTCAGTTTTGTAACCGTGTATGGTGACGGATGTTCTGGTGATCCATCAACAATATATACAAGTGTTGAATCATTATGTACACCTGAAACTAACATGTTATATGTCAAGCGTATCTCAATAAAGGAAAAGGTTATCTGCTAAATTTAATTAAATAAAATACATCCTCACTAGATCTTACATGATCCAAGCTGAAGGCCTCTCTGCATGTTATATAGAGCTAGCTCATCAGGTCCTCATGATTGGCTGTGTTCAGATTTTCGGTTACGTTTGGGGAAATATGACTGCATGTGACTACTTGATTTTTATGTTTCAACAGCATTGCCCGCCTTGTGCTACCCAAGTACATCTGGGGAATCGAATGTGTCAGGCGACGTTGGAGGTGAAGGAATGGACTGTCTGAATTGGTTCCCCAGTTCAAGTCCCTTTTCTAAAGCAGACCCTCAGGTCACCAAGATTTGAGCTTCCCCTTTGGGCTGACACCCGAGCAGGTCTCCCGTGTTAATAAAGTGGAGCGGGTTTAGACACAAACCCTGCCCAGCCTCGGAGGGCCGCGGTCGTAGATGCACTCTCAGTACAGCACCGCTAGAAACCCACCTTCCAGGTCTCCCTCCCGCGGTCTCCCAGCTTGGGAGGAGCCTGCAGAAGGCGGTGTGTGGAAGGTGTCAACGCGAGCAAGGGGCAGGACAGCACGCAGGAGGGGCGGGGCTGGGGAGTCGGGGGCGGGGCCGCACGCGGGGGTGGGGGAGATGGGCGGGGCTTGGCGCGCCTCCGCCCCCGCCCCCGCCGCGGCCACTGTTCACAGTCTCGGTGCTGATCCGCGCCGAGGCCGTCTTGCTGCCTCAGGAGGGAGCCCCGGGTCCCGGCAGAGAGGCGCGGGCGTTCCCCGAAGCCTCCACAAAGCACGAGCGGCGGTGCCGGGCAGGGCCGGCTATGCCTCCCGTTGCTGCGGTTCCCGCCGGCGACCGCGCGCCCGCGGCTTCGGGGGCGCAGCCGGGCCCCGGGGAGGCCGCGCTGTGAGGCGCCAGGGCCTAGCGCCCGCCGCGGCCGCGCAGGAGGGGCCCAGGGCCCAGGCTCGCCCCGCCTTCCTCGCGCTCTGCGGCCCCTCCTAGGCTCGCTGCCTCAGCTGCCGGCCGCCATGGCCTTCGCCGCCCGGGAGGGCGCGGGCTCGGGGCGCGGGCGGCCGCCGCGGCACCGGGCGCTGCGCGGGTTGCTGCTACTCTGCCTGTGGCTGCCGAGCGGCCGCGCGGCCGGCCCGGCCTCCGCGCCGCTGTCCGAGCTGCACGCGCAGCTCTCGGGAGTGGAGCAGCTGCTGGAGGAGTTCCGCCGGCAGCTGCAGGAGGAACGGCCGCAGGAGGAGCTGGAGCTGGAGCTGCGCGCGGGCGGCGGCCCCCCCGAGGAGGGCTGCCCGGGCCCGGGCGGCGGCGGCTACAGCGCCATGCCGGACGCCATCATCCGCACTAAGGACTCCCTCGCGGCGGGCGCCAGCTTCCTGACCGCGCCGGCGGCCGTGCGGGACTGGCGGCAGTGCGTGGCGGCCTGCTGCTCCGAGCCGCGCTGCTCGGTGGCGGTGGTGGAGCTGCCCCGGCGGCCCGCGCCCCCAGCCGCCGCGCTCGGCTGCTATCTCTTCAACTGCACGGTCCGCGGCCGCAGCGTCTGCAAGTTCGCGCTGCACCGCGGCTACAGCAGCTACAGCCTCAGCCGCGCCCTGGAGGGCAGGCAGGAAGAGCTGGAAGCCGCGCCACGCATGGGTGAGCACTCCGCGGGAGGAGGCTGGCCCAGACCTCTGGGTCCTGCTGCCCCTGGCACCTGTGGGTGGCTGCATCCGGGAGACCACTGAGGCAGTATAGCCAAGTGAAAAATGGAACAGCCTCGTTCCAAGTTATTTTAGTTCGGGGGCATCCGGACGAGTGGCTTTGATTGCTGTTTTATGGATGCTTTCTGAGAAACCTAGAAGATTGGGCAGAGAGGGCACCGTGGCCTGCTTCTGGAATTTTTCTATCCTTGGGGAGGGAGGCTGATCTGAGAGGATTCGCAGAAATTCGATTTAAAGGAGGCGAAAAGATCGAAATAAAAAAAAAAGTTTATATTAGGCTCAGATTTTTGTAAGTCATGGTTTGTGTCAAGTAATCTCAGGAGCAAAATCTAATTAGGTGCCAGACTGCTCATAGCACACCCGTTTCTTAGCTTGACTCATGATTCCACGTGCAGTGGCTTTTCACCAGACAAAAATGAGAAGGGAAACTTGGTGTCAGGAATTTTGAAGTGGGTCCAGCTGACTCGCGTGAACTACGGTCCCTTTTGTAAAAAGGGAAAGGAAGGGATTTGATTTTAGTTGAAAATAAGAAAGTTGAGGGCACATCTCTTTTTAAAAGCGTTAATAATGAAGTTTTTCATTCTGTGGTTTTACTTCCTGCAGATGCTCTGAATGACAGTCAAGGCACATAGAGGAGGCACAAAAAATGTGGCAGTTGGAGATTAAAGCCATTGGGGGAAAAAAACCTTGATTGGGCCCACATGTGGTTGGCTGTGTGTTTGATTGCATTCTGTTGCTCTTTGATTTATGATAACATAAGAATGATATAGTGAGATTAGGGGTGGGGGGGAGCCTCAGCCGCTTTGGAAATCTGGAGTCTCCAAGACCTGAAGGTTCAAAGAGAAGGGTCTGGGAAACCATATTCGCAAGGGCCCATCTCCTCACTTAACCTCCACCTGAGAGAAAGCTCAGGACCCTTGTCAGGGGAGCAGACATCAAAAGTCACCCTGGGACTGTTCAGCCCTGAGGCAGACATTGGGAAGAACCCCAGAGTTTTCTCCCTGAAGCAAAAGCAAGAGACACTTTCACTTGGACCTCCGCCAGCATCCCTGAGCCTGCCCCATGGCTGTTACACACACATCCTTCCTCTTTGCTCAAACATGGACTAAAAAAATCCCAGCAGTGAAGAAACAAAATCCCTTTCTCTTGTTCTCACTGCACATCTGGAGGAAACCAACATCACCAAAGGAAGCTTTCTTATAAGCTAGGGGAAATCAAAAGGAAAATAAGGAAAGAATATGCTCATGGAAATTAAAAAAAAAAAAAGTTAGGTTTACTAGTAGGAGTTTCTGAGTCACTTTTCTTCCGCTTCCTTCATTGCCATTCCCTTCCCTAGGGGGTATTTGGGAATTCAATTATGTAGATGTTAGGGATAAAAATGGGTGACCACAGGGCTTGGTCCTCCTTCTGGAAAACACTGTCATACTCACACTTCAGATCCCCAGTAACATGTAGAAGGGTGTAGCTCAGGTCCCGAGGTACCCTTATTTGCAGCTAGGGCAAAGGTTACCTGCCCACATGCACTGTGTCTGCCTTGCCTTGCTTAGGTGCTTAACCTCTTGAAGCTCTTTATGCTTCTGAAACTTGCACGTTATTCCTTCTTGCATTGCCTCTTTTTCCAACTCTTGTGAGTATACAGAGTTGGAGGCTAACTGAGCCTGAATATCATTTAGAAGAGCTCTTGCAGAGAATTAGTCAGGGGGCCATTTGAGGTGAATAGAAGCCTCGTGAAATGATGAGGGGGCAGGTGGAATTTATAGCAGAACCCATCAGCCGTGTTTGTTGCGGCCATTGACTGAGTTTGGTGCTAGACATTATTATAAGGTGCTTCGACACATGAACTCACTCTCCTCAGAATAGCCAAAGATCTAGGTTCTGTTATAATCCCCAGTGTACTAGAAGGCTCTGTGAGAGAAAGTAAACTGCCCAAAAAAGCCTTGCCACACATAAGTTGTGGAGCCGTGTCCAAGTGTCTCCCAGGAAATATGTAGCAGAGACCATTAAAATGGTCATTCGTTCTGAGATATTTTTATGGGAAAGTGGTCCATGCTAAAGAAAAAGTAGGAGCAAGAAAATTTGTTGTGGCATTATTTATAATGGTGAAAAAATTGATAAAGTATATGTCCAATAGCAGAGGCTAAAATTAAAATGGCAACTGTGAAGTTTATGGAGTTACATGGGCAATACTAGAATATATGAATAAATATCAATAAATAGAACATATTAATGAGTTAGTAGGCTAATTCAGGATATAAATTTCTATTTCCTATAACTGGGTACACTTTGGGGACTCCCAAAGTATGTTTAGAAAGATCTGGGCTGACATCCGAACTGACAAATTTATCATTTGTATCATCTTAGGCAACTAAGCATCTGACTCTCATTTCCTCATGAGTCTGATGCAGATGATAATACCTCCCTCCCTCAGAGATTTGTGAAAGTTGAGTGACATTAAGGCTCACAAGCACTTAGCCTGGTGCCTGATACAAAGAAATCACCCAATAAATGGCAGCTCTTACTTATTATCATCAGCTCATGTAGAGAAAAACTATAACGGTACACACCAAAAATGATGATAATCATATTGGGATTGTGAATAATCTTTTCCTGAAGTGTTACAATTAGGAGGAACACACAATGAAAAAAGAAAACCACAAAAACAAATAAACCAACCACATGGATTTTGACACAGTATCTAAGCCTCTTCCCTTAGGCTGGCCCCACTTCTGTGTCCAGACTTTAGGAGTCTCTGCTAGTTTCACAACCGCCACTATAACCTTTGTGCCCACACAGTACGGATCCAGATTCCAGAACCTCCTTGTTATTAAGGCTCCTTTCACAGCAGTGTGTTATAAATCAGATTACTTAACAATATTCTTATCTGTATAAAGTGTTTTAACTTGATATGCTTCATCAGAATTGGTATGAGTCTTATTTTGCCTCTGTAGATCTGACCAAGTGTGTTTAGTTTTCAAAAGAAATCAGTGTTCCTATAGTACTTAACATTGATTTATTATTTTTATGATGAAAATTCAAATTTACCTTTTTTTACAAGATTTTATTTATTTATTTGCCAGAGAGAGAGAGAGAGCACAAGCAGGGGGAGCGGCAGGCAGAGGGAGAAGCAGGCTCTTTGCCGAGCAAGGATCCCAATGAGAGACTCGATCCCAGGACCCCGGGATCATGACCTGAGCCGAAGGCAGATAATTAACCGACTGAGCCACCCAGGCGTCCCTCAAATTTACCTTTATCTTGTTCTTTATCAGCAAGTCAAGTTTTTTTTTTAATTAATTTACTTATTTAGAGATGGGGCGGGGGGGGGGAAGGGGCAGAGAGAGAAAATCTCAAGCAGCCTCAACACCCTGTGCAGAGCTCCATGCCGGTCTCCATCTCACGACCCTGAGATCATAGCCTGAGCCGAAATCAAGAGTCAGACACTTAACCGGCTGAACCATCCAGGCGCCCCTTAAAGATTTTAAGTAATCTCCACACCCAACCTGGGGCTCAAACTCAACAGCCCTGAGATCAAGAGTCCCATGCTCCACCAACTGAGCCAGACAAGTGCCCCAGCAAGCCACATACTTTTAAATGATAGCATACTCCTTTCCTCTTGTTGTTTATTTTTAAGACCTGTTCCTGGGTAGATAAGCTCTGGCTTATTTCAGAATACATTACGCAGCATAATTTACCTGGACTTAAACTGAGGAGGAAATGTATCTCTTTTATTTCAGTTACAACAGTGATCAATGTGGAAGATATGAAGGTTTCGCTGTGTTCATAAATCATATCTTAAAGCTTACCTACAGAAAAGTAAACAACTAAAACAATGATTTTTTTCTTCTTCCAGGAAAGGCAGGATTAATTAGTTTTGTAATTACGTGAGATATTTCAGAACTTACCTGATTTTTCCATCTTAAGTCTTTGGGGTTACATCTTTGAGAGCTTAAAAATATAGCATGCATTCATTGTTGTTTATATCATATAGGCATATTTTAGTTTGTTTACTTACAAAAAGTATTTTAAAGTAAATTTTCATGCAGATAGTTGCTAACTATAATGTATTACTGTGAATTATAAGATAATTTCCAGAATTCTAAAGTAGTAAAGCATTGTGTGGAAAGCAATGAAACTTCCAGAGCCAAAAGAAAGTTCTCTGTAACACTCTGTAAAATGGCTTATTAGTAATGAAATTGTCACCTCTTTCCTTACCTGAGAGAGGCAGAATAAAGACCTCAGACCCTAGGTCTTTGCTCAGAGATGGAAAAGGCAGAACAAATTTCTTCTTAGGCAAAGGTTGCTTGTGTGGCTTATTTCAATCTGAGTTATTAGTCCTCATTGTTTTTTTTTTTTTAAGATTTTATTTATTTATTTGACAGAGAGAGACACAGCGAGAGAGGGAATACAAGCAGGGGGAGTGGGAGAGGGAGAAGCAGGCTTCCCGCAGAGCAGGGAACCTGATGCGGGGCTTGATCCCAGGACCCTGGGATCATGACCTGAGCCGAAGGCAGACGCTTAACGACTGAGCCACCCAGGCACCCCCTAGTCCTCATTGTTTTAAATGACTATAAAAATGGGACTCATCTTAGGGCGCCTGGGTGGTGCAGTCAGGCATTCCAACTCTTAATTTCGGCTCAGGTCATGATCTCAGAGTCATGGGATCAAGCCCCACATCCAGCTCCATCCAGCTCCACTCTCAGCACGGAGTCTGCTCAAAGACTCTTTCCTCTCCCTCTGCCCCTCCCCCAGCCCCCCTTCTCAAATAAATAAGTCTTTAAAAAAACAAAACAACAACAACAGCAAATGGGACTCATCTTCTCAATAGACAAATGGAACCATCGGCAATAGCAAGTGTGCTTATTCCCTGTAAATAGGCTCATAAAAAAAGCCATCTCTTTTTGAGGCTACCAGCAGCATTCTCATTCAGAAAAGCCACAGCTCTAAGAGCTGCCAGCCCCTTACAGAAATTCTGGGTTTCTGGGTATATTGGGAGCATCAGTAGATGAGAAGATAGGGCTGGACGAGCAGGTCTCTCAACATCTGCAAGGTCATGGTAATTTGTTGAAGCGTTTTTCTTAAGCAGGGAAATGACCCAATCAGACTAGAATTTCAGGGAAGTCATTTTAGCTGTAGTGTATCAAGAGTAAGGACCTTTGTTGCCTAGTGACAAAGAGGATTGCTGCTAGCCTCAGGCCCTGGGATATCTGGGTTGGCCCTCAGAGGTTTGCTTGGGAAGCCACCGGGGCTCTGCAGGGAGAGAGCCGTGTCTCAGCAACGTCATCCAGAGAAAGTTAAGAACAAATCCAGGCCAGAATTTGGGCAGAGCTTTGGCATGGGAGGAGGGAGGAAATAGTGGCAGCCAAAAAGGATAGATTATAAGAACCTATAGATTTTCCCCCCAGTTATATTACTTAGTTTCTTTAATATAAAAGTGCATTTGGGTAAGTTTACTAATAAGCTTAAATTAATAAAATATTCACAACTCTGCTCTTAGAAATGTTTTCTGTATGCAGCTTCTATCCGTCGACTATCAGTTAAAGATTAGTAGTTAGTGAACACTACTTCACCTTAGCCTTGAATTATTTAGTACCATTCCAGATCAAAGGTAAACACATACTTGTTTGCTGTCATACAGAAACTCTGTGCCAGCTTCTGTTATAAAAGTTAGTCGTTAGGGGCACCTGGGGGAGGCTCAGTCGGTGAAGCACCTGCCTCCAGCTCTGGTGATGGTCCCAGGGTCCTGGGATTGAGCTCCGCGTCGGGCTCCCTGCTCCCCAGGGAGCCTGCTTCTCCCTCTCCCTCACCTGCCGCTCCCCCTGCTTGTGCTCTCTCTGTCAAATAAATAAGATCTTTAAAAAAAAAGAAAGAAAAGAATTAAAAAATAAAAATTAGTTGTTAGAACCTGTGAATGTTTTCTATTTTCCTAGATGAAAAATTGTATTCCGGAAAATTTCTAAGTGAGTTTTATTTTGTGTGAATCCAAGAACTTGCCTTAACTTTAATTTAGTCTCCTACGCATTGAATACTTAATATCACTTCTATTTTAAAAACTTGAGGATAAGAAAAAAAAATCTGTATCAGAGGCGGGTTTTTTTTTTAAATGTGTTTCAGAAGTTCTTTTTTGATAAATTCATTTAATAGAACTTTGAACTAAAATTATTTATGAATTAAATGAATATTTGACTCTAGAGAATAAAAGTACTACTCCAGATTGGATAGCCTAGTACTCACAAGCTTGTGGTAGCTGCTGCTACTAGCTGATACACCACACCTCCTCTTCTGCATGTGTTAAAGTCCATATTCCTAATTTGTTGCTATTGTTTATTATGTAAAGAGAATATGATGAAAATCAATAAGAAAATAACTTTAGTTGCTATACATTCTCTTAGTAGTTGTTCACTGGACTACATCTATTCTAGCAAACAAGATACTTCTTTAAATAAATTATAAAAAAAATAGGGCCTCATCTCTCTTGTGAATTATTGATTTTCTTTTACAGAAAAAGATGAGCCCCCACTTAGCAAGGCCGGGCAGGATGTGGTCTTGCATCTACCTACAGATGGGGTGGTTTTGGACGGCCGTGAGAGCACAGATGACCATGCCATTGTCCGGTATGAGTGGACACTGCTGCAGGGTGACCCATCAGTGGACATGAAGGTAATTCATGACGTCATTGTAATGACCGCAAATATTTCCATGAGGTGACTGCTCATAATGTTCTTCTACTCCTGTTCCCAAAATATCTGTAAGCTAGCAGAAGAGGTATAAAATGGAGAACGCACAAAAGTGATAGCTGAAAAAGTGGTTTATTATATGAATTTACGTTCCTACTGAGTAAACAGTGATTCTGATCCTTTGTTTTGAAGCTTACTCTTGTTCTTGCTGCTTTTTTGGCAAAACACTTCAAGGGAAAAGACTCAGACTTTGTTTTAATGACTCAGATTACTTTAAAAAAATTTTTTTTTGCCTTTTTTTACTTTTTAAATTTTCTTATTCCTTCTTTTTAAATTTTCTTATTCCTTCTTTCCTTAGCTCAAGGTCCAGGTAGAAAATTTGAAAAATACGAAGGAATATAAAGAGGAAAATAACAATAGAATAAACCAATTCGGGGAGCCTGGGTGGCTCAGTCGGTTAAGCGACTGCCTTCGGCTCAGGTCATGATTCTGGGGTCCTGGGATCGAGCCTGGGATCAAGCCCCGCATTGGGCTCCCTGCTCAGCGGAGAGCCTGCTTCTCCCTCTCCCTCTGCCCCTCCCCCTGCTTGTGTTCCCTCTCTCGCTGTCTGTCAAATAAATAAATAAAATCTAAAAAAAAAAAAAGAATAAACCAATTCTTCACAGGATCCAGAAAGCAACCACCTCATCTGGCAATGAGGCCTGCTTGAGATAACTGAGTCAGTCAGTGAGGGCAAGTGTCCCTGTTGGTGCCCTCCCTGCTGATGTTCATCAGGCTTATGTGGGCTGATCGGAATTGCTACAGACGGAATGAGTCACTCTCCCATTGGCTGCCTACACCCAGGAGTCTTTCTGTTATTTTTTTTTTATTAATTGAGCTATTAAAAAACATTATATTAGTTCCAGAAGAACAACATAATGACTCGACATCTATACATATTGTGAAATGATCACCATAATAAGCCTAGTTAAGATCTGCTATCTCACATAGTAACACATTTCTTGTGATAAGAACTTTTTTTTTAAGGAAGCCTTAAAAACTTTTTTTTAAAGATTTACTCTCAGTGACTTTCAAATATACAGTACAGTATTATTAACTATAGCCACCATGCTTTACATTATATGCCATGACTTATTTATTTTATAACTGATCCCAATTGATCAGGAAAGGTACACAGACAAGCCATTGATCATACCACTAGAGAGCTCCCTTGAGATGGACACTGACTGGTAATTGGCTGGTTTTTTCTAAGGCCTCACAGTTGGCTGTCGACTACTTCCTGTGTCTTCACAGGGTCTTCCCTCTGTGGGGAAGCACTGATTTATATTCTTTTGGAACAAAAACAATAATCAGCTAGTCCTTCAAGACTGATTTGTGTTCTTTATTTACTCAATTATTATGTAGTCTTTGATTTGCCTGGACCCTTGATGAGCATCTTACCCAGCCCCCATCCATCTAGGAGCCCCTTCCAGTGGTTGTCCACTCTCTGCCTGGTATTTCCAGAGATGAAAGCTCACTACTTCACGTCATGTCCTGTAACAGCTTTCATCAGCTCTAATTATTAGGCCAACAGGATATGCCTCCTATTACTACTGTGCACCGTGCTCGATCTCTTTGGAAAAGCACTGAATACATCTTTTTATTCTATTTATCAGCCACTTAAGTTTTGGAAAAAAAAAATGAGGGGTGCCTGGGTGGCTCAGTCAGTTAAGTATCTGCCTTGGCTCAGGTCACGATCTCAGGGTCCTGGGATGGAGCCCCACATCGGGCTCTCTGCTCAGAAGGGAGCCTGCTTCTCCCTCTCCTCCCTGCTCATGCTCTGTCTCTATCTTTGTCTCTCTCTCTCTCAAATAAATAAATAAAATCTTAAAAAGAAAAATGAATGTCAACCACTTGGAATGCTCTTCTCAGAACTCAACACTCCCAGTCTTTCAGATGTTCCTCATAAATTGATTTTCAGAGGGTCCCACTTACCATCCAGCCTCTTCTGGATTTTCTCAGATTCTTCCAGGCCCTTCTTAAAATCTGACATCCTGGGGTGCCTGGGTGACTCAGTCAATTAAGCATTTGCCTTCGGCTCAGGTCATGATCCTGGGGTCCTGGGATCGAGTCTCCCATCAGGCTCCCTGCTCAGCGGGGAGTCTACTTCTCCCTCTCCCTCTGCCCTTTCCTCTGCTTGTGCTGTGTTTCTCTCCCTCTCTGAAATAAATAAATAAAATCTTAAAAAAAAATCTGACACCCTTATGAACCCCATATGAAACTGTGGTTCTTCCTCACACAGACTATCACCTCCTGTGATCCAGACATTGTCTCTACTTCTACTAGTGAAGCTCAATTTACATAAACTATTTTAGTGGCTGCTTCACACAATAGATTCATGTTGAGTTTTCCAGTAGCAGGATGACCCAAACCCTGCTTCATCTTTCTGCATGGACTGCTGCCCTGATGGCCTCTTCATCCTGTGTTTATATAATTGATTTATTGAACCTGAGTGCAGGACCTTATGTTTATCCTTTTTACAGCTCAGCCTTTTGGTTTTCACCTACAACAGAAATTATTTTGAAATTTGAGTATCATCCAGCATATTTATTATCCTTCGATGCATTGTGTCAGCTGCAAAATTAATATATCTTTATTTAATCTTTGAGAACTAAGGTTGATCAGGAAAGGTACACAGACAAGCCATTGATCATACCACTAGAGAGCTCCCTTGAGATGGACACTGACTGGTAATTGGCACTTCTGGGACATATTTGTTTAAGCAGCTATAAATCTGCCTCCATTATCATCTAGCTTTGTCTATTTGCTACTAAAAGCTTTATTCTGTAAGCAATGAATTGCATATTTGAGTGCTGAATAAAAATAATGCTGATGATTCAGTATTTAATTTATTGAAGATATCTAAAAGGCGTAACAAAATTAGGCATTTCTCATGGGCTTTTAGGTCTGACTGCTCTGCCATCAAGAGGGAAATGTGGACCAATTCCCCTGCCAAGTGTATAATGTGCTGGCAGATAGATCTAAAGTTATACAGCCATAATGTAAGTGACAAAATCTGCAATAAGAGAGCCATTTGCTACCAAACTGTGACTGTCTTATAATGGTGTACATTCATGAATGCCCCCAAAAGTAAACTCTCATCCTACTCTGACTTCATCATAATAAAGCTGTCATTGATTGAGCCATCCAGGCGGTTTAGACCTATCTGTATTCCTCAGAACAACCTCACAAGCGGACACATCCCTACTTTGTGGATTAAAATTATAATAAAACATCATTAAAGACTTTGAAGCGGCAAGAGATTACTGAGTACCTTTCAGTGAAATGCTGCAGAGCAGGTCCTTCAAGGTTAGCATTTATAGATTGTAGAAAACAGATTGTAATGCAAATGATTCTTGTCCATAGAAATGCAAATAAATTGTTTCAAATAGAGATGCAATTGACTTCTGCCCTGTGGAAAAGTGGATTTCAAGTATGATATTTTAACACCCATGGGTATTAATCTGTTAATCCACGTATGTTGGTGCCTAATCACTACTAATAGGAAACTTGTTTCAGCTTTGCATCTCCTAGCAACTTCATTTAAACATTCATGGCTGCTTATTTCTGTCTGTTCCTCAGATTCTCCTTTGTCTTTTGTTTGTTTTTTTAAAGATTATATTTTTATGAGAGACAGAGAGCAAGTAGGGCGAGGAACAAAGGGAGAGAGACAAGCCGACTCCTCTCTGAGTGCACAGCCTAACACAGGCTCTATCTCAGGACCAAGATCATGACCTGAGCTGAAATCAAGAGTCCCATGCTTAACCTGCTGAGCCACCCAGGCGCCCCTCAGATTCTCCTTTGAATCTATGGAATGTCTTATTGGTTTTCTCTTTAATTAATGAATTAAATAAAATCTTTGACTCATGTTCATATTAGATTTGTGTGAGAGCCATAGTTTTAACATTTTGAGAATGTTCCTTTAACAGTAATTAACATCCTTCAGGGACCATCTCACTGATCCCTTTCACTTGGGCAGCGGATTTTACACCCCAAAATTTCCTTTTTTTTTTTAGCTTATTTATGTTATTTATTAATCTCTATACTCAACATGGGGCTCCAGCTCACCACACAGAGATCAAGAGTTGGTGTTCTTCCAACTGAGCCAGCCAGGTGTCCCCACACCCCCAAGTTTCTGACTGGAAAATTGGAACTCTTAAGTCAGTTGTTTGTTTGTTTGTTTGGGCTTTGTTTTGTTTTTCTGAGAATGGGATCCAGTTGACTGGAATCTTAATTCAGTCCTCCTTCCAGCTGTAAAACAGGGCTCAGTTGAAAGGTTGTTGGGAATGGGGGAAGAGCGATTATAGGCTAGCATAGCAAAGCAATTAAGTTAAATCCCAGTGTGCGATACACTTGTTCTTATGCCCCTTGACCATCCCCACCCCTCAGGAGCACTCATTGGTCAGGCTTTCCCCTGAGAACATGATGTCTGCTCAAGATTCTTTTTCCCCCTTCCTCCAGCTCTGCCCCTCCCCCTGCTCATGCACAGAGAAAAACTGAAGCAAACAGGAACGTGGGTCCTTCTTGATAAAATCCAAGTTACACCGGATGGTCTATGTGAGGTCTCCCCCTTAGTCTCATTTTTAATACCATAAAATGGTATCTTATAGGGACACCTGGGTGGCTTAGCTGGTTAAGCCTGTGACTCTTTTTTTTTTTTTAAGATTTTATTTATTTGAGAGAGAGAAGGAGAGAACACAAGCAGGGGGAGCAGCAGAGGGAGTGGGAGAGGGAGAAGCAGGCTTCCTGCTGAGCAGGGAGCCCGGTGTGGGGCTGAAGCCCGGTGTGGGGCTCGATCCCAGGACCCTGGGATCATGACCTGAGCCAAAGGCAGACGTTTAACCAACCTAGCCACCTGGTCACCCTCAAGCCTCTGACTCTTGATTTCAGCTCAGATCACGATCTTAGGCTGGTGAGATCCGAGCCCCACATGGGTCTGCACAC